GACCCCGGGGAGGATGGGGAGAAGGGCGAGGCACCGCACCCGAGAGCCCCGCGGGCAGAAGGCGGGCCTCGGAGCCGGCGGACGCGCTCATCGCTCACATTTATAAAGTCTTTACCTTGAAGGTTAAAAGATGTGAAAGAAAAAGGAGGGGCCGTGGGGAGTGGGAAGAACATCTCCCGAGCTTCCACCCACCCCCTTTCTACCTCCCCGAGCTCCCCCTCCCCCCGTGTTGGTAAAATAACCACGCAACCCGGGCTGAGGGGGCGGGGTGAGCCAGGCGCGAGTGTAGGAAAGCAGATGTCCCCGCTGGCAGCGCCTCAGCCTCCGGGGAGCGCGGCGCCGGGGGGCCCTCCCGAGGACATTCACCTCCCACTCCTCAGGCATCCCGCTCACAACTGCCTCGCCTCGGCGGGGGTGTTTTTTTCAGACTCAGCGTTTCGCGTGTGCAGCTTTTTTACCTGGGAGCTGTTCTTACCCGGCCACGCTTAGCAGATGTCAAGATGCAGCCCCTGCACGACTCCGTCATCAGGGACAGAGGGAGAGGCCGGGAGGGTGCCCGCTCCACCTTCAGCGGCCGCCAGCCGCCCCTGCCGCGCGGGAAGGAACCTGTCCTCCAGGCTGCCTCCCGCGGGGCCCGAGAGGGCTTTTGTCCCGCAGAAGCCCGTAGTCCCAGGACCCAAAGGAAAACAAGGGTTCCCCGCGCTTCCCGCACACGTGGTGGACGTGGGGAAAGAGGGAAGCGGGGTCAACGATACACTGTCACTGGAGTCACTTTCTGGGCTGTAATTTCTTTGGGTTGTCAGTAGTCTAGTAGATGTCAACTGTGTGAGAGGGGCTTTTCCTCTTCCAGAAAAGGAGAAAGAAAAAGCATCCCCTTTCGCGATAGGTGCAGTGGTATATTCTGGCTGGTACTCACTGGAGTGTTTTTATTTTTAATTTTGTGTGTGTGTATGGGGTGCGAGAAGTGAGAGGGGAGGCTGGGTGGGTGGAGGTTGGGGGGGAGGGGAGAGACTGGGATAATTGTCTAGGCATTTCCATTCAGACCCAGTGGCAATGAAAGAAAGATGTACATGCGGCAGACACCTTCACAGTGAATACCTAATCACACTATGTCACCTGGGTGAGGAAGGTGTCAGTGTGATGTGCTTGGCACCCCGAGAAGTTGAGGCACTGCTCTCATCCTTCCTCAAGTGAAGGCTCTCCACTGTGGCACAGGGGCCTGCTCCAATTTCCTCATCCTAAACCCTCCAGCTTTTCCAAACACATGTTCCAAAGAAGGCTTAAATTTCTGTTTTGAGAGTTGCAAATCAATGTTTACTTCATAAAATGTAAGTCATGTCTCAACCATATAAAAAAATTGGGGGTGGGGGAGGGAGGGAAGAGAAACCTAAAAGAATTACAGGGAAGGAAATTTTAAACATTTTGCAGCCTTCTGAACTGGTATCTTCTCAATGTCCCCCAGTGGCCATCAACCAGGCTGCTAACAATGAGTAACAAATTTATCAACAAGAATGTGAATATTACTAATATAAATAAGTATGGATATAGTTTTAGATTTGCTTCCATTAAATGCAAGTATGTTTCTTTAGTTAGTGTGAAAAATAATTAAAAAATTCAAAGTGAGCTACTAGTTGTAATAAAATATCACCTAACCTGGTATCACTCTTCTATCAAGTTACTGGAAATAAAACATGCATTTTATAAACTTCCCAAAAATGTGTTTTTTTTTCCTTTACATTTTTTTACTCAGGAACAAAGAACACATTGATGATCACAATATAAGTAGCTCTTTAAATACTTAATTCATTTCATCATGTAGCTACACAGAAAAATTAAAACCAAGTATATTATTTTAAAAAATCTAAAGTGTTTAAATTGTTTTACTAGTGATTTTATCACTGGGCAACAAATGTCTTAGGTTTTGTATTTAGATGCTCATGTTGTCTGCTATTCTCTATGATAGGTTTATTAAAAAAGCATGTCATGTAGAGCATAAATAATTTAAAAATTTTAATGAAAACAAATGAAACATTTGACATCACCAAATTCAATAGATATAACTAGGATTCCAAGCAATAAGCTTAGATAGTTGAAACAAACATAAATTATGGTCATACAATTCATACATAATTTTGAATTATGGTAATAAACATTGTAAACATGAACACAATTGCAATTTGATCTTTTAAAAGATAATAAAGGAGGGTTACAATATAAGTTTAGAAAAAATTCAAATATCTGTGATTTTTCAATAAATGATCTTGAACTAACTTTGCAATCAAGTATCTACAGTATTACAAATCCCAAATCATCACATAGAACAGTGATATGTCTGTTTTCAATGCGTCTTAAGTCTCCTCAATTAAAGTGTGAATTAAGATGCCGGAGGAAATCCCCCATGGAAGTAATGGATGGTGGGAGAACTTCGTGACAGAATTCACATACTCGAGGTATATGCAGTTCTGAGCCTGTGCGACTTAGTACCGATGATAAGTCACTGTCTTGATTAGGAAAGGGCTTCCAAACAGGCTGCAGGAAACAAAGAAAAACATTTCCTGTTATTTGTACTTAAAATCAATTTTCATTGAATTTCAAATTCAAATAGTTTGAATGGGTTATGTGCATATATATGAAATCCCTAATATGAAAGCAAATTACCTTTCCATAGAGTTAGCGTGAGACATGACTACATTCTCTTTTTCATAAGTGGTGCAACTAAACTGTGATTAAAAATCACTTAAATACCCTTCCATGTACTTTGTCTTCACATATTTAAAAATTTTCCAACTTTAGCACCAGCATATTTTAATACCAGTACCACAAAGGCAGTAGTTTTAGAACAACAGTCAATAACTGAGACCTTAAAAATTAAATTCTACCTTTTCTATTTTACAATAGAAACCTTAAATTATAGGGCCTTTACTAATACATAGTCCACTAGATATAATATGTATATATACATGCATTGTGATGAAGAGAAATTCAAATTTCACTACTTATAAACAAATACATAATGAATAAATCATATGCAAATGTTTTTTTGATTTTTGAGAAGTTTTTTTTCTTTGAAACTACTAGACAAATTCCATTGATTATTTGTGTTTTTTAAAAATCACAAACATTTAGCCCTAATGGGTTTGGCTCAGTGGATAGAGCGTCGGCCTGCGGACTGAAGGGTCCCAGGTTCAATTCCAGGCAAGGGCACATGCCTGGGTTGTGGGGGTCCCTCCCCGATTGGGGGGGGGGGGCGTGGAGGCAGCCAATCAATGATTCTCTCTCATCATTGGTGTTTCTCTCTCTCTCTCTCTTCTTCCCTCCCTCCCCCTTTCCCTTCCTCTCTAAAATAAAAAATATATATATTAAAAAAAACACACCACAAACATTTAAATTAATCATTCAACAAAATCTAACACCTGATTTATTCTTTCTTATTTTGCTCCTGTTACGTAGTACATAGTCTGGTCTTTTTTATTCCTTTTAGTGGCTGAATGAAAATCTGTTAATAGTTACCTAATTATAGAATTATAGAAAATTGTAATTCAACAAAACTATAAGCAGCATATAAATACCCTTAAATAACTGAATTTATTAGTAAAAAAAATAATATGAGAAGGGCAAGGAAAAGCCTTTTAGCTCCATAGGAGGTGTGTAATAAATACTTGTTGATTGGACTATCTTATTTTCCTAAAGTGTTGCAAGCCAAATTATTTTTTAAACTTGCTTTCTTACCTTGCATAGATGAATTACCTTGCATAGCTAAATGCTGATAGTTTGAGGAAAATCACCTCAAAAGTCAATTTAAAGAGACACCTTTGTGTTCCTATTACTAATATGTTTTTAAAGTAATAGCCTAGTTCAACATCTAATAGTGTTAATTTTCATTCCCTCAATCAATCTCTTTCATTTTAGTTAGCCAATCATTTACAAAAACAGTATATGTATCACTAGTTGAAACATTTAGATATTAGTATGGAGGGCTAATAATAACACTGACTCAATTCCTTTTGTGAGAAGTGGTAATTTTATTACATAAAACAGTAATATCTGAAACATACATTTGGAAATAATTTTTGAAAAAACCTTTCTTCATGATAAAGAAGCAGTAATCATTTTGAGAATATAAGCAAATGTCTAGTTAGCTAGATTTAAATTTTACTGCTTGCAGTTTAAACAAAAAGTCCAACTGATTACTACCTACCACCTTAATGGGAAATTGATTTAGATATAAATAAAAAAGGTATGCTAAAATAATTATTAAGATCTATAAAATACTAAGAAATAGACTTAGAAGCAATTTAGCTTCCAAATTTGGTGAGCCAATCTTCTACTGCAATTTATCTTCAAAGTCCATATTTATCTTTCTTTGGATAAGGAGCTATTAATTAAGATTTGAACTCCTCATAGAATTTAGATGGGGTCCCAATGACTGACTCAGCAAAAGTAGGAAGAAAAGAAAGTCACACAGAGCCAAAATAAGCAAGATATATTTTAGATTTTCTAATGATAGCTGAACGTATAAAAAAAGTGTTCAGTAGTAATGATTGATAAAAAGTAAAAATCTGAAAGATGTAACCACAATTTTGCTCCTGTTATTTCAACTCAAATTTTATATTTACCACACTAGCTTTATTAATACAAATAAAATAGAAAAATATTTTTAAAAACCCATCTTAAGAAATAGTTTTTCAATCCTAAACTGTAACATGGCCTTCAAATCAAACTAATTTTGCCTTTCCTGCCAAAATATCAATTATCTAACCTTATGCCCCATGTCTTGTGACAGCTCAACACTAATTCTCCTGAATTTTTTAAGCTGAATAGTTTTCCATCAAGTTGTAATCACATAGCAGCTGTTTCCCTGCTCTATCATAGAAAGCAAATGCACAATGCAGGGTGCCATCTACTGAAACATGAATGCACAGGCTAACTAACGAGTAAAAGGACAAGCAAGAAATATAATGGAGAAAAAAGTAACAAGCATTAGAACTGATGCATTTCACAGCTCCACAGGAATTCTACTTGCAATAAATGAAATTGCTTAATTTGCTTCATTTAGTAGTAACTTACCACTAAGACTATGATGTGAAATAAGGTACAAAGTAGAATAAAAGTGAATTTGTAATTAAAGTTTATTGTCAGAGATGCCTAGTTTTCCTCACTACTAAAATATACCACAGCTTGGCTATTGCATCCTTTGTATGCTGATTTAAAAGTTATAGCCTATCTGAGTACTCACAAAGCCAAAGGGTATTCATCAAGTTGTTTAAGACAAAGAGAAATCAAACGAATGTCTGCAAGTTATATAGACATTTACACCAATCTGTATTTTCATGAGTGTCTGTTTAACAATTATATATTTTCATTTGTCTTCAGGCATTAAAAGCTTTTTTTTTAAAACTAAAAAAATTATCCTGTGATAGTACCTGAATAAAAAGGATGGTAGGAGTGGATTGGGGGGCATTAAGAAGTCTGCGAGTTTCAGGAACATTAAAGTATTTAATTAAAATAATATATATGCAGAGACTATAAAAAATGTTAGGCTGCATGTTCAGTGCCAGATTAGAAACCAAAACTGAACTGTACAAATCTATGTACTGTATAAATGATAATGTAATAGGATTATTAGTTGAAAGACAGATTACTTATTTTGATAAATGGGAATATACAATGCAATTATTTACTTATGCTATATCACAGATTCTTGTAAAGATGAGTATGATCTACACAAACTGTTAAACAGAGAAATGCCACTTGTTTCACAGTATGAAATTTAAAAAAGAATCCTATTATAACACTGATGCTGAGTGAGAGCTCTGTAAAGGGACTAAGAAAGTGACACGTGCTAGATATGGATAAGGCTTATGTATATTTTAAAACGTGTCATAAGTTTTAATTAAGGTACTTTATAATAGAGCTTTCCCATATTCATCCTTTATAATTTCATGTCATTTATTAGAGAGCTTGGATCTTTTACTGGGAGCATAAATTGGCTAGTCATTAGTTTAAAAGGATGTCCAATAATCTCAAAGAGATGTATATCTGTGCCTGTTTGGCAAAATGTGTGTCCACACATAATATACTTGTTAATGTAAAACAGTTACCTGCTGTGGTCCTCGGATAGCTTTTCCTGGGGAATCAAGTGAAGGAAAAGGTGTATCAGACAGGTCCTCAAGTGGTAATGTATTTACATACAATGCATTATGGTCTCCAGGTGACAAACACGGAGTTCTATCCAGAGTGGTCCTGATACAAGTGTTTACAAGTTTTGAGGATTCTGTATTGTCAGTTGTTTTAAGGTTTTGTATAGCTGAGGCTACGGGGTCAATTCTCTGAATTTCAAATAAAGTTTCTTCTGTTTTAACAAAGTTTCCCAGGTCGTCTCTGATGTCTACATTGAATTTATCCTGGCACACAGCCTCAGATGCAGCAGGACCAAGGACGTTGGGTCTTTCTGGAGTGCTATGCAAGAAAGCAGAGTCACTGTCCATTGGTGGAAACTTGACATTGAATTTAGACAGTGATTCAAAAGAGGTGTCCTCTTCATCTCGGCCCAGTCCTCTTGGTGTGACAGATGTGAGACAGGATGCACTTCTATTTATATCATCGCTAGCCTGAGGCTCAAACAGCGCTTCTTGTTTATCTGCTTTATCCGTACACTGTATAGGCACCGAGCACTGTGTTCCTGCAGAGAAAAGCACACACGAGGAAAACAGTCATATACCAATCATTCTTAACAGTCTGAATGCCATTAGCCTTGGACAGATGAGCACTATTTTTTTCTATTGGTTTTTATAGGAACTGAAGACAACTGTGATATTTTACATTTGCTACCATCTTACACAGAAATATTAGCATTCTCTGGTGGGTGAACTGGAACATGCTTATTAGCTGCAGTTTAACTGCTTTGTATTTTTCCCCCCAGGTCTTTTGCTGTAAACTTTGCATCTTGTTCACAGTTCTACTCGTCTACACTTAAAAAACCTCAAAACCGTTTGCTTGTAATGTATACATTTAAAATTTTGTCAGGAAGAGAGGCTGCAACTGCGAGCTTGTTTATTAGACAAATACCTTGAAATACCGTGTTAAAAGGGAAAATCCTTATGAGATTACACACACACACACACACACACACACACACACACACACACACACACACATATTTATTACAGATTAAAAACCTATATGAATTAGCATATACCAAAAATTAGCAAAAATTTTAAAGGTCATTCATTTCCCCTAATATCACTGTGTGACAATGTAGCACCAATCTATGTAGCCACTGTCTACTCTCAATAATCTATGTGAGAGAGTGGTGGAGGAGGAGGCGGGCGTTGGGGGGAAAGAAGAGAGTAGAGGCAAAAGAAGGATGAAGTTTTGGAATGCATGTTTAGCAAATTATATATGAATATATAAAAGCTCATCTTATAGATTAAACAAAAAAGACCTCTGTAGTCCACAGGTAGATATCAGGTAGATAGATACCAGGGCCTCTGTGGCTCATTTATCTAGAAGTCACTTGTCCAACAAATTCAGCTCTCTAGGACATAGGCAAAGCTAAAAAAGTAAGTAAATGGAGCTTCTCAGGAGTCAGAATTAGAGCCTCAAGCCCCACAGATATATGAGTTTTGCTCTTATTTTCATTTTAGATTTATTCTAACAAGCTTGATGATGTGTCCCTAGCTCATAGCTGGTTAGAAGCAGCATATTAAAATGTATGCATACAGTTGTTGAAGGCAGATATACTTGTCAACAAGAGCTGAAGGCAGGAGAGGAGACAAGAAAAAAAAAGCAGATATAAGAACTCAGAAAACACTAGTCTTGTTTAGGGCCAGGAGGGGCTACATTTCTCAAGGAAAAAACAAACAAACAAATAAACAACCCCAAACAAAAAAACAATGATCAAAGCACTTTCCATGTTGATGACCCTGAGACATTAGAAAAGGCTCAGTTATGCTCTACATGTCACTTCAAGAAGGCAGTGAGGTTGGAAGTTGATAATGTATTTTCATTAAATGGGCAAACAATAAAAATTAAAAAATGATTATCACTATAACAATGTAAATATCAATGAAGTTGTACACTCATGAATGGAAAATTGACCAATTCTGGATGCCGATTTAAGCAGACAGTTGTACAAAGCACCTTGCACAGTATCTGTTCAGGTTAGTAGATACTTAAGAAAAGTCAGTTCCTTCCCTTCCTCTAGGGTCTTTGCAGTCTCATACCAAGTTGCATTCCAATAATCCAACTGTTTGGTCCCTCTATTATATACCTTCTATATTTTTTAGTACAAACCACCTTCTCTTGTTAGATTATTATAATAGCCTTTGAATTGCTTCCTTGCCTCTAAATTTATCTCATATTTAATCCATTCTCTACATCTCCCCACTCCCTACTGCCTTAATTTTTCTAAAGTGCAAATCTGGTCCTGTTACCTTCCTAATAAAACCTTTTCATGGCTCTCCATGGCCCTCAGCCCCTAGTTAACTCTCTATTCTCTCATATTCACTCTACCTGTCTGACATCTTACTCTGGCTATAATGAACTTCGGTATAGTGCTCCAAAATAGATATGCTCTCTTCTTTTGTGGTTTTTGCACATGCTGTGCAGACTACCTGGTGTCCCATCCCACTATTCTTGTCTAATTCTTACTTGCTCTTTATTCCTTGGCTTAAATATTAATTTATCTGGATGGCTCTTCTGGCTTCCCAAGACTGGTTTACTCATGACTTGGGTGCTCTGCAGACCAAACACTCTGCATTGTACCTATAAGCATAACTTTCTTAAAGGTATGCTTAAAGTGGTTTCTTAAGGTTCTAAACTATGTTTTGTTTTCTACTTATTCCCAGTACCTTGCCCAGTGCCCGACACATAGTATGTCCTCAATAAATGCAGTCTGAATGAATCTGTATTCTCCTCCCCTCAGAGCTAGGTATAAGAATCTACATTTGCTAGATAATCTGGCCTAGGAGTGGTACAGTAATTGAGATCAAGCTAATTGTTTAGCAAGATTTCTTTGTCTGCTGAAGTTCTTAAAATCCATTAACTCTCAAGTAGTCATTTTCCTAGTAGTAGATTTAAGAGTGGCAAGAAATTCTAGGAAACAGTACTTTCTTTGTAGATTATACTTGCTAATTGCAAATAACAAATAAGGAAAACCAACAGTTGAGGCACCCAAATTCTGTATCACCTGAAAAGGAAGAAACACTTATCAAAATGACTGTTACAAGAAGAGTCTGCTGCTGCTGATAATGCCAACATTAATAGTGCTTCTATGTGCTATGCACTATTATAATCATTGCATATACACAGTTTCATTTAATTTTCAAAATATTCACGTGATAGATACTTTATTATCCCCACTTTACCAATGAGGAAAGGAGGGATGCATGGAGAGGTAATTCCAAGGCACTTGGCTAATGGATGAGTGGTAGATCTGGCACTGGGACCCAGGCAATCTAATTCTAGAGCCTGTGCTCTGGACCATTATGCTAAGTTGAACATGCCAGTTTCTATACACAGAGGAGTCCACAAAATGACAGAAATGTGCTATGAATTTCTTTTCCGATCCTCCCTGTGAACAAAACATGAAAAACCCAAACAGCTGTATTAAAGCAGATATTTCTTTCAGCATAACTACCTGGCATAGATCAGTCACATAAAAAAAAACAAAAAACTTCTGGCCCTAGCTGGTTTGGCTCAGTGAATAGAGTGTCGGACTGCGGACTGAAGGGTCCCAAGTACGATTCTGGTCAAAGGCACGTGCCTGGGTTGCGGGCTCAATCCCAAGCTTCAGTCCACAGGCTGACTCTTTATCCACTGAACCAAACCAGTCAGGCAATAAAAATATATTTTAAAAAATCTTCTCAATTAATCTGCTCAAGCAATGAAAGTTACTCTCTACCAAAAAACAATTTTTTTAGCCCAGCCGGCATGGCTCAGTGGTTGAGTGTTGACCTATGAACTAGGAGGTCATGGTTCGATTCCCGGTCAGGGGACATGCCCAAGTTGCAGGCTTGATCCCCAGTGTGGGCATGCAGGAGGCAGCTGATCAATGATTCTCTCTCATCATTGATGTTCCTACCTCCTTCTCCTTCTCTTTTTCTCTCTGAAGTCAATTAAAAAAATTTAAACGTATGATTTTTAAGGCTTCTAGAAATCCAAGTTTAGAAAACGTAACATTCAAATGAGGTACACAAAAGCACTAACAGTGTACTGAGAAACATGATTAGGTGAGCAAATTGCTTTTCTATTTTGTTTACTTCAAGAAAACTTATTTTTACAGGGGAAAAAATATAAAATGAGAAATATTTTTAGATTTTTAAAATTTTAAAGTATAGGCTATCCACTGAGACTACTTTACAGTTTAACTTGTATATCGACAAAATAAAAAAGTCTGATGGTTGTGACACTCTAATCCAATTATTCTTTTGCCCCGATCTCCACTGAAATAGAACCCTCCCTTCTACCAAATAGTGCTTTTTTTGAAGCTACATTTGCTTAAATATACATTTTTATCTTTATTCCTTCTCAAGGCTATTGCCATAAGTGGATGAAATGGAAAACGAAAGTAATAAAAAGGAAACATGCAAGTCTACTAACAGCAATTTTCACGAATTATGTTTATTTAAAAGTAAAAATCAAATGTTAACAAAAGAAACACAGGGACAATAACATTAAATGTACTTTTCTCAGATGTATTATGCAAATCACATTTGAAATAGTTCCTTCATACTTTTTCAAAGTAGTGTTTTATCCTTGAAAAACATGCCTAGACATCTTTTTCCAAAACATTTCTTTTTTTTTTCTTTTCCCTTTTGATCTACTACTGTCAACAGCCTAATATTTGATATTTTGGTTTCTGTTTGGATCCAGCAAAACTTCAGTGGAATCTGTGGCACAACAGATTTAAAACATTTCAAGAATAGTGTTATATTTACTTTTTGTGATAGTTAATATAAAGCGTAAGAATAATGTTAGGAAGCAGCTTTAATGGGGAAGAAATTGAAGTTAAACACTCAGTGTTCTAGTTGACAGATACATACTAGATTTAGACCTGTGCAATTTAGAAATGGTCAAAGTATTAAGCCATGGATAATGTGGTAAGGCCAACGAAAATTTCACCATTTCGATGTTTTGATAAGATGTTAATGTTCAAAAAAGCATGTTTATGAATTCCAGGTACTACTTCTCTATAGCTAGTATATTTTAAGTAAAAATAATTCTTTCGCTTCCTAAGTACCTAGTGTTTTTAGTTGGCACAGATCAATCTCTAATAAACATGACAAAAATTAAGATGGAAAAATTACTTTGGAGAGGTAAGAGGAAGAGAAGAGAAGCAATACATTATGTCTATCTACAAAGATTGTTTTGTTTTTCCAACACAACATGGTGTTCTTTTTCTGAAAATAAAATGGCAGTAGTAAGCAAAAAGTGAATTCATACTACAGAATAATTTTTAAATAGCCTAGATATAAGAGCTATAAGAAATGAAAAGTGATCTTTAATTAAAGGGGTGTTAGCACTGCTGCAACATCTTTCAGAGTGAAAACTGTAAATCACATCTCTTGGGAATTGCATATAGAATATCTCAAATCACAAGGGTAAAGGAGAATTTATCATAACTGATCAGTTTACCTTCCTTTTGTTTTCATAAGTGCTTGGTAGCCAGGTTCAATCCCCAGAATTCTGCTATTCATATGAACTACTGATGCAAACACCAGGAAGGCAGTCTGAGGTTTTAGGAAAGGGTGGAGCTTTTTAAAAAAACACTGCAACATGTGTAGAACAGATGTTCCTTTTAAGTTATTTTTAATACTAAGTTTGTACTTTGTGCCTCCAACAGAACTGGCCTCACAAAATGTGTAATGTTTATTTCTCAAACCAAATTACAAGCATCTATCTATAGTGTTCAATTAACTTTCAGACAGAAGTAAAAAACAAAGCTGATGTTATAATGTAACTCAGCTCATATATGTTAGTGTTGCTATAAGATTGCTTACTAACATATGAATTAATGTTTTATAAGACCCCAGAAAGGCAACTAAAAACTATTAGAGATATAGCCTGTATTTTGTGCTTTTTCCAAGGTGAAACTTCTCATTAAGATGATTAGTAATTGTGTCATTCAATTTAATCTATGCCAATAAGTTACATAAAATTATACATTACAAAATGTAAAGAGCACTTAAAATATTTCCATAATAAAAAAGAAATGTCAACCAATAAAATTATTATCAATAATACTAATATTACATGAAGTCAAACCTTACCAGCTGCAGTGGCTGAGACATTAAGTTTGCTTAAGTGGTCTTTTTGAGCTTTTGCTAGCATGCATATTCTATGAAATTCTTCTTTCAGATCCCAGAAAGTCTTCTCTATGTAACTCCTAAAAATAAATCAATATTTAAAAATTTAAGGATATTTCTTCAAGTATTCTTTAATCATAATTAAAGTTATATAGCACATATTTATGTATCATAAAATAATTATTGAAAAGTTAAAGTTAAAAAAATGTTTCAATTCCTAGAAAATATCCCCCAAAACAATTCTAATGTTTGGAGAGCCAGGCACAAAGTAAGTGAAAAATGAAAAGTTCTAATACATAAACGTAGGGCAGACTAACATATGTACTTATTCATAAATCACACATATGCTGTCTCATTCACACATTAGAGATATCAATGTATTAACTTTTGTTCTCTGTAAGCTTCTTAAGTAGAAGAAAATTAAATATTCCTCACTTTTATAAAGTTCACATTAAGAGCCATTGTATAAAACAATGTGGCCGTAATAGTTGGTCGAGAAATCCTTAATATAAAATATTAGTGCTTTAGAAAATTCAATTTTTGGATTCACTTCTGCTATAAACTGTATAACTTATTTAGGTTATTTTCACATTGAGCAGCCTTGGATTAGTCTCTTCTAGTTCTAAGAGTCTGCTATTTTCTTACAACTGCTAATATTTACAAAATATGTAAGTAAGAATATTTTCAACATTTGTAATTTTTAGAGTTGGCAAAAAAAAAAAAAGATATAGAACTACCTTTCATGGAATAAAGGACTGTCAAAACTCCTTGGTGAAGTTCCTTTTCTAGGAGAAGATACCTCTTGTCTTCTTTCCTTAGAGATACAAAATAATTAACACTTTAAATTGCTTCTAAACTCAATAAGAATGGGTTAACAAAAAACACAATGGAAAATTTAAATTCCTCATTGAAAAATAAGTTTAGGTAGCTTACAGATGTATAATAAGATTTTTTCCTCTTTAAATGAAAATAAGGGGAAAAGGAAAACAAAGGCAGAAAAATAGGATGAAGACCAAGTATTTCTGTTAAATATTATTTCCAATACTGATAATTCAAGAAATTTCGTCAGACCCATCTATTGATCAAAATTGCTACTCTGATCACTAGTAGCACCTGAAATGACCAGAAAGTTTAGGGGAGAAAATGTGTGTGTGTGTGTGTGTGTGTGTGTGTGTGTGTGTGTGTGTACACTTCTTTTCTTTGCTGGGGAATGCAGCTGTATTAGAGGAAGAAACCAAGCAACAGCTCCTTAGCATTTAACAAGCATTTTAAAGATAGTGCAATTTATGTATTTAAGCTTCTTTAACACAAGTTCTTGCCTTTCACTCCCACCCTGTGGCTTACACTGGTATTACATTTATTCTGACATTTAAAAGTCAATATTGAAAAATGTGATATAATGTATTGTATGGTTTAGATTAAAAAAAAATTCTATCATACCTAAAAAATTTTGTGTACCTTATAAAGCTATAAGTTGACAAGTTCCAAGATGTGAAGAAGTACTAGTATCATACAATTATAAATTATAGTTCAGTCAAAACGGTTAAGGACTTAAATTTAAGTTCAAACCAGTGGACTTTTATTTTTAGTGACTTTTCAGATTTTATTCAGTTAAGGTCATCGTAGCTTTTATGTGATTTTACCTTACTGTTTCTTATCACCTGAGTATATCTCCCTTTAATCTTGCTTTTCAAAAAGTTCTTTCAATTTCATAGGAGTCTCATTTGTTCTTTAAGAAAAAGACTAGATTGTTTTTCTTAAAATTAGTATCTTCTCCAATTTATTTCAGTTTATTATTCTACTTTTCCTGCTTTTTATAATAAACTAGAGGCCCAGTGCACAGATTCATGCACTGGTGTGGGGCGTAGCCTGCGGGGACCCGTCTGCTGTGGGAGCACTGCTTATCCCGGTCAGCCGGGCGATGGTGGACCCACCCTCTGAGTGGCTGCTGAATGAGGAAATTAGTCTGAGCTGATACTTCAGGGTAATGTCTTCGGTAAAGGTATGTTCTATGTCCTGGAGGTACCTGGCAAGAGAGCTTTGCACCCCAAAGCCACTCGGTGAATGCCCTTGATGTGTGATGCCAGGTGGTGACACCATTGGGGATGTTCTGGGCAGCCATGCTTCAGGATCCTCAGTCATTAGGACAGCCTCCCTGGGGGGCCCACAATCACATCCCCTCTCGCCATCCGCCTATGCCAGCTCCCTGTGCTCTTTCTAGAACACACCTTAGAGGGCCTGCATCAGCTGTGGGGTCAGGCCAGAGTCCGGATGTCTCAGGCATTTGATAGGGGCAGAGACTTGGCCTCACCCTGGGCTGCTCATCCCGGTCAGCCGAGTGGCGCACCCACTGTGGGAGTACATCGACCACCAGGGGGCAGCTCCTGCATTGAGTGTCTGCCCCCTGGTGATCAGTGCACTTCATAGCGATTGGTCGACGGGTTGTTCTGGTCGTTCTGCTGTTTGGTTGCTGGGCTTTAATATGTATAGATATTTTCCAGCTTTTCTAATAAACATTTCTAAGTACCAGTGCTTGTTTAACATTTCTAAAGTAGGGTATTACTTTGGTAATTAGTAAAATAAAATCTTGGCAACCCAATTTGTGATTTTATATATTATATCTAGTCAGATTGGGGTAAAATAAAGAACATTTCCTGCTGCATACTTTTTGTCTGACAAACACTTAGGGGATGTTTTCTTCTGGATTAAAATTGCTTTATTGAGCTTATAAAACAGTCACTCAGAAAACATTTTCACATTCACTGTTTTTGAAAGTGGCAAAGTTTTTCTTTAGTGCTATGTGCAATTAGAACATGCAATGCCTTTTAGTGTGGATTAGGAAGAAAGGTCACATGCCAACCATTCAGGATACTAAACTTTGAAAAGATTATATTAAATCCATATCAACAAAATCTGAGGTAATATTAAGAGAATAGAAACATTTGACAATGTTAAACAAATCATAATAAAATATGTAATTATATTCAATGGAACATCTAATCTCTTTTCAAAATTTACTACTTTAAGTTCTCGATATGAAAAACAATTATTTCATTAGGAGCTAGAATAAACCAAAAAGAAGTACTCTGTAATTTGAGCCATAAATGAAGGCAGTTACAGAAAATGATAAAGACTATTTCATTTGTCAAATCACTGATGATTTTGACATAAACTAGGAATGACTGCTTCTGATGTTAAAGAAGCTTTAAAAGGGGAGAAGATGGAGGAAAAGGTAGGAAAAGAATGATAAATCTTTGGCTTCTCAAATAACTAATGTCAACTTATTTCTGTTGTGTTTAGATTTGATTACTGGTGTGGATGAATTTATCTGGAAAAGACCCCTTGGGTGTACTGGCAGGGGGTAAGGAAGGACTCACTCTGAGGAATTTTTACTCTTCTCGGGGTTAGAAATACAGCTATGCTTACTATTATTTTTGTTATTATTATTGAAGAAAAGTATTGTTCAATACTTTAGAATTTGATTGTTCTAAGCAATGTACTTCCCCTGTTATGATTGACACCAAATAAATCTGCTGATATATTAAGTAAAAATTTTAGGTCCCCAACACCCCAAGAAAGATTTTTTAAAAGGCACCTTTTGACATGTTAGTTCCGTTAAAAAAATAAAGACATACAGGGTTAATCTAGAATGGATGTAGTATTTTCCATTGACACAAATTTCTGAAAATGATCATTTATTTTTTTAAAGGATTAGTATAGTCAATGGCAACTCCAACGCTTTTTTCAGAAACTTAGGATTTCTTTTCAATGCTAAATTATCTTAATAAAGATTTCTCTGTTTGTTGAGCATCCCAGAGAGGAAGTACACATTAGAAGAAATAACTTGTATTTTCCTTTCTACTCTCAATATTATCCAAATGGACTCTGCACTGCAAGAAGTTGAAGTCATTACAACTTCAAATACAAAAGCAAGGGAACTTTGAACGTTATGCTTTAGGAGATTTTAAACATTAAATCATTCAACAAATAAATTTGTCTTGAGGTACTAAAACTTAAAATACTTAACATTATAGACTGTTCCAAGTACTAGTTTGGAAATGCTGAACTTGTGGAATGAATACTGACATAAGAGTTTTACACGTCATACTTTAAACCCATTTGAAAGAGTTGGAAGATATTGTAAAATGATTCCTTAAATTTTCTTTTATGCGAATAGGGAGAACTTTTAGTATATATAAATCAATTTAAGCTTATTATATGTACATAAACTTACCCATCTCATTGATGGATATTATATAAAAAATATACGTTTAAGGGCTATTTGAATAAGCAATAATATTTAAGAAGAAAGAAAAAAACAAACAAACCCGAAGTGGCCAATATTTCATTAGGCCAAAGCCAGGTTTATTCTTAATGCAAAGGCAATGGGAAATATTTTTGTGCTGGAGTCCAGGTTCTGTTAGATATCACATCTCCCCATCTGGGTAACTCAGTTGGTTAGGGTGTCATCCTTATACACCAAGGTTTCAGGTTCAACCCCAGGTCAGGGCACATATAAGAATCAACCAATGAATGTGTAAATAAGAGGAACAAAAAATTGCTGTTTCTCTCTCCCTTCCTCTCTCTCTCTCGAATCAATAACACACAACACACACACACACACACACACACACGTATATATCAATATCTCAAAGAAAGAAATGTATATTTTCCCTATGCCTGCTTTTAAAATATTTAGTAGTAAAAGTGCAAGTATTTTATTCCATTTATAAACCAACCAGAAGCCTGGCCGGTGCATGAAATTTGTGCACTGGGGGGTGGGGGTGGAGAAGGGGGGGGCTGTCCCTCAGCCCAGCCTGTGCCCTCTCGCAGTCCGGGAGCCCTTGGGGGATGTCCGACTGCCGTGGAGGTGGAAGAGGCTACCGCCACTGCTGCTATGCTCGCCAGCTGTGAGCCTGGCTTCTGGCTCAGCGGTGCTCCCCCTGTGGGAGCGCACTGAACACCAGGGGGCAGTGCCTGTGTTGAGCATCTGTCCTCTGGTGGTCAGTGTGCATCATAGCAACCAGTCGTTCTGCTGTTTGGTTGATTTGCATATTAGCCTTTTATTACATGGGATTTGAAAAACATAGAAATGATTCACAATAGGCAAGATATTCAATCTAATTGTCTATTGGTGGATGAATGAATAAAGAAAATCACATCTATATATGTCTATATACTATCTCTCTCTCTATATATATACATATACTGTATATCCCTATATATAGATGTAGATATAATAGGACATCATACACATACACATATAAAGGAACATTTTAAGGCTGACTATATCAACTTTAAAAAAAGAAAGAAAGATATCATTTGAGACAGCATGGATGAACCTGAAGGATATTATGTTATGAGAAATAAGCCAGGCACAGAAAGATAAATACTGCATGATCTTACTTGTATGTGGAATTTAAAAAGTTGAATTCTTAGAAGTAGACAACAGAATGGTGGTTGCGAGGGTTTGTGGAGTGGGTGAACAGTTACATGTTAGTCAAAGAGGACAAAATTTCAGTTTCAGGGGATAAATAAGTTCTGAAGATCAAATCTACAGCACAGTGACTACAGTTAATATTACTATTGTAATACTTGAATTTGCTAAGAAAGTCTTAAATGTTTTCACTGCAATAAAAACGAAAGGTAACTATGTGAAGTGACAAATATATTTGATTGATTGTAATAATCATTTCATAGCCCTAACTGGTTTGGCTCAGTGGATAGAGTGTCGGCCTGCGGACTGAAGGGTCCCAGGTTCGATTCCGGTCAAGGGCATGTACCTTGGTTGCGGGCACATCCCCAGTAGGGGGT